TACAATAATTAACCTTGGGCAATTTCTTTGTGAAAATGTACGTATAGCTAAAACGGACCACACCTAAAATCGGGTCAAGTTCTAATTGTTCAAATTGATTCTGTAGTAATAAGATCGGCTAACCCTTATTTGGCGACTCCAGGAGCAACTGTTCATGGCCATTATGGAGAAATGCTTTATGAAGGAGATATATTAGTTACATTTATATATGAAAAATCGAGGTCTGGTGATATAACACAGGGTCTTCCAAAAGTGGAACAGGTATTAGAAGTGCGTTCGATTGATTCAATATCGATGAACCTAGAAAAGAGAGTTGAGGGTTGGAACGAGCGTATAACAAGAATTCTTGGCATTCCCTGGGGATTCTTGATTGGTGCTGAGCTAATTATAGCGCAAAGTCGTATTTCTTTGGTTAATAAGATCCAAAAGGTTTATCGATCCCAGGGGGTGCAGATCCATAATAGACATATAGAAATTATTGTGCGTCAAATAACATCAAAAGTATTGGTTTCAGAAGATGGAATGTCTAATGTTTTTTCACCCGGTGAACTAATTGGATTGTTGCGAGCTGAACGAACGGGACGTGCTTTGGAAGAAGCGATCTGTTACCGAGCCCTATTATTGGGAATAACGAAAACATCTCTGAATACTCAAAGTTTTATATCCGAAGCGAGTTTTCAAGAAACTGCTCGAGTTTTAGCAAAGGCCGCTCTCCGGGGTCGTATCGATTGGTTGAAAGGTCTGAAAGAGAACGTTGTTTTAGGAGGGACGATACCCGTTGGTACCGGATTCAAAAGATTAATGCACCGTTCAAGGCCAAGGCAACATAACAAGATTACTTTGAAAAAAAAAAAGATTCTCGAGGGAGAAATGAGAGATATTTTGTTCCACCACAGAGAATCTTTTTTTTTCATTTCAAAGAATTTATGTGATATATCAGAGCAATCATTTCGAGGATTTAATCATTCCTAAGAGCGGATTCATCCCTTTCCTTTCAACGCGGTCATTTTATTTAGTAATAGTAATAAATAATACCGAATAGAAAAAAATGAATGGCCTGATCGTGTATCAACGGCCAATCTTCGGTAGAAGAGAAGGTTCCATCGGAACAATTATTGATTTCTATTTCAGGATACTGATCTCTTTTTTTTTCAAATTCTTTTTTTATTTGAAAAAAAAAAGAGAGAGAAAGTGTGGGGATAAATGACAAAAAAGATATTGGAACATAACTTTGGAAGAGATGATGGAAGCAGGAGTTCATTTTGGCCATGGTACTAGGAAATGGAATCCTAGAATGGCACCTTATATATCTGCAAAGCGTAAGGGTATTCATATTATAAATCTTACTAGAACTGCTCGTTTTTTATCAGAAGCTTGTGATTTAGTTTTTGATGCAGCAAGTAGTGGAAAACAATTCTTAATTGTTGGTACCAAAAATAAAGCAGCTGATTCAGTAGCGCGGGCTGCAATAAGAGCTCGGTGTCATTATGTTAATAAAAAATGGCTCGGTGGTATGTTAACGAATTGGTATACTACAGAAAAGAGACTTCATAAGTTCAGGGACTTGAGAACGGAACAAAAGACGGGGAGACTCAACTGTCTTCCGAAAAGAGATGCCGCTATGTTGAAGAGACAATTATCTCGCTTGGAAACATATCTGGGCGGCATTAAATATATGACGGGGTTACCCGATATTGTAATAATCGTTGATCAGCAAGAAGAATATACGGCTCTTCGAGAATGTATCACTTTGGGAATTCCAACGATTTGTTTAATCGATACAAATTGTGAACCGGATCTCGCGGATATTTCGATTCCAGCTAATGATGATGCTATAGCTTCAATCCGATTAATTCTTACCAAATTAGTATTTGCAATTTGTGAGGGTCGTTCTAGCTATATACGAAATTTTTGATTAATAATAAGATAAATAAATTATTTGGTTTGGGGAACTCCATAGATTTATGGAATTGGTTACTATACTATTACTGAATCGCGCAAAAAAGAATAACCGGAGATATTATGTGATTAGTTGGTATTCAAAATCCAAAATTAAAGTAGACAAGCCGAAAAAGAGATGGTTGAATCAAAATAATTCCTTTTAAAGTTGTATTTCTTTCAGAGGGCAATATGAATGTTCTATTATGTTCCATCAACACATTAAAAAGATTATACGATATATCGGCTGTGGAAGTAGGCCAACATTTCTATTGGCAAATAGGGAGTTTCCAAGTCCATGCCCAAGTACTTATTACTTCTTGGGTTGTAATTGCTATTTTATTATTTTCAGCAGCCATTATAGCTGTTCGAAATCCACAAACCATTCCTACTGACGGTCAGAATTTCTTTGAATATGTCCTTGAATTCATTCGAGACGTGAGCAAAACTCAGATTGGAGAAGAATATGGTCCGTGGGTTCCCTTTATTGGAACTATGTTTCTATTTATTTTTGTTTCGAATTGGTCAGGGGCTCTTTTGCCTTGGAAAATCATACAGTTACCTCATGGGGAGTTAGCTGCACCCACAAATGATATAAATACTACTGTTGCATTAGCTTTACTTACGTCGGTAGCATATTTTTATGCGGGTCTTTCAAAAAAGGATTAGGTTATTTTGGTAAATACATCCAACCAACCCCAATCCTTTTACCGATTAACATCTTAGAAGATTTCACAAAACCCTTATCACTTAGTTTCGTTCGACTTTTCGGAAATATATTAGCTGATGAATTAGTAGTTTTGTGTTCTTGTTTCTTTAGTACCTTTAGTGGTTCCTATACCTGTCATGTTCCTTGGATTATTTACAAGCGGTATTCAAGCTCTTATTTTTGCAACTTTAGCTGCGGCTTATATAGGTGAATCCATGGAAGGCCATCATTGACTAGTTTTCGAAATAGTCTTTGTTTTTATCTTAGCCCGCCGCAATGTATGTGCGGTTCAAAAGAATCTACTTAAGGGAATGAAACAAAAATATAGAAAGAAATTTATAAAAAAGAGAAAGAAATTTATAAAAAAGGTTATCCAAAAAAAAAAGATGCAAATAAGGTCTAAATAAAATAAGTATACGATTTTGTCTAAAAGTAAAAAAGATTACCAGGGGGAATTGTAAAAAAAAATAGGAAAGAGATCCATCTAAAACATCTTTTTCCTATTTTTCCTAAAAAGACTCTTTCTTTGACCAATTTTGACTTCCCTCCAATGAATATTCTTTTTTTATTGTTTTGGATTTGGATTGTTTTGTTGTATTTTGTTTTGTTCATTCAATTAGAACATTAAAGAGTAGATTATTTAGATTATATAATAAATAAAAAAAAGAATTAATAAATATTAATTAATAATTAATAAAATAGAAATTCTATTATATATTATATATAATTTCTATTAATATAATTAATATATTAGGATCCATAATTTGAAATAATACAAATAAGAATTTGTATGGTATCTCCGTTTACGACGTGTGATTAAAAAGATGTTATATAGAACGGATTCTCCTTTCATTCAGTCATTCAATTCAATGATTGACCAAATTGGAATAAATAATAAAATCAAATTACATGAACTTAGATCACTCAAATGCTGACATTTCTATGCAATAATTCGGTCTACCGAATTGATTTAGATTGATTTTATCCATATGGGCTCGTGATAAATAAAGGAAGAGAAGGCTTAAAAAAAAACGAGATTAAAAAAATAGGGTAGGAGTGGAGGGGTCAAACTAGGTGTATAGAATCTAATCGCTATAACACAGCTCTTTGTTTTGTGGATGTTTCAAAAAAACTTCTCGAATCCGATTGAATGTAAGACAAGAATAATAGGTTTACGGTATGTAAAAACACATGTATATGTGATATTAGATATTAACTAGTTATATATGAACTAAACATATATCTAAATTTGCCCTGCTACTGTAAATTTAGATACGGATTCAA